ATATGGACTGGGTAGTCCAACAATGGCTGCATGCTGGAGAATCTACGAATCCCCTAGTTAATCAATCCATGAGGCTGGATGCCTCAGCAGTCCCAATCTAGTACCCAGTCTAGCAGCCAGTCCTCAAGCTTTACCTGGCCTACACTGGGATGCCCCAATGTGACCCAGAAACAGACGTACATGAACCTTAAGCATTAATTGTAATGGCACAGAAAACAAAGTGTCCACAAAGAGCGTAGAGATGGCAAGAAAGGCTAGGCCAGTTGTAAGAGAAAGCCCAGCCAGAAAGCCTTCAGGGGTTAGGCCTTAGATGGATCATCTTGGAAACAAAATGACTGAAAAGAAGTCTGTATGACCTCACATGAGTTCTCAACACAGCCATTATGACATCGCCAACCTGGACAGCTTAAGGGGGTCCCCTGGCATCATTCCCTCAGCCCAGCCTCCCAAGCCCCAGCCCAGAGTCCAGCCAGAGCCACGTTCCTGTCCTGCATTTGCTGCTCCTTCCCATGCCCTGGGCACAGTTGTTGGTATGTGGACTCCTCTCCCTCTGGCCACAGCTGCTGACCCAAGCAGGACTGGCCAGGACACCAGCCCACCTCGCCTCCCTTCATCCAGTCAGTGGTGAGCATTAGGACCAAGGGAGACAGTGAACATGACCCCATGACTTAGCTAATGGGCCATCAGGAGGTTCCCTCTGAAAGCATAGACCCCCAGCCGTCCCTCCTAGGAGCTTCTTCTGTGTCCTCTTTGCTCCCAAGTTCAAAGTTTGACCTGTCTAACCTTGAACTTTGATTTGGAAAACTAAAACTCTACCCCACCAATGAATAGGAAGTGCCAAGAGCTTGTGCCAGAAAGCAGTCAGTATCTTGGTTGTTTTCCTTCTGTGGTGATAAGATACTCCGATGAAAACAACTTAAGGGAGAAGGGGTTTATTCTGGCTCACAAGACAAAGGTTACATAGTCCATGTCTATGGGGTGCGGGAGGGGTGATGTCAAAGTCAAGGTGGCAGGAGCTTGAGGCAGCTGGTCACATTACATCTATTAATCAGCAAGCAGGGAGTTATGAATTCTTGCTGTTCCTGAGTGCCCTTTCTCCACATATACAGTCCAGGATCCCAACCAGAGAATAGTATCACCCACAGTGGGTAGGTCTTCCCATCACAACCTAATCAAGATAATCTTCCATTGGCATGCCCAGGGGCCCATATTCTAGGAGATTCTTGAGTCTATCAAGCTGACAGCACTAACCATCACACCAAGCATCAGTCCTCTGACCTGAAGGGTGAGGAGGTCCCCTTGCCCTGTGTAAGAAGGCTGAAGGTGTGACTCAGCACGGTCAGTTTGAGGGTACTTCTGTTCTCACTGAGTTTCTCACAGCTCCCTGGTGCAATGTTTCCCTCTCTAAGAGGGTAACAGAGGCTGAAGAAAACTGGGCTTTTTAGTAAAAGCAGTCACAGATCAAATGAATTCCAGTGTCTGATGCCCATACCAACGAAGTGGGGTTTCTGCCCTTTGCCCCAATGTATTTTACCACTTTAGGGAAGGTTCACCATAAGCTACTCCACAGGGCATAGTAGAGCTGTCTCTTGTACCAGGCTGAGAGCAACGCCCTTGCTTTGCACACTGCCTCTGAGCAGAACCAGCCTGTGTCCTTGGCCTTCAGTGTGGCCCAGGTGGCAGGGCATGGAGTGTGGCATGGGGATACTATTGACAGAACTGGTCCTTCTGGAGTCTAATGGCAAGAGACTTCAAATTACCCCAGTGACTCCTCATTATGGGAGCCACCGTCACTACCTCCAGACTCTGCTCTCAAATGACCCCACACTGCTGTCATGGGACCTTCCCAGGACAAGGAGATGGATAATGAGGCTTGGCTGCCTATCCCATGGGGACCTTGATGTAAAATGGATTCGAAAAAATACTGAAGCAACCATAGCTTGGGGATTCTTCTCTGGGATGAGCACTTTGGGGGATACTTCAAATATGATCATCACAGTTGATCCATATACAGTCTATTGGGATGAAGTCCTTCATGCCCATTTTAGGGGTGAAAAGATAAGGGATAAGTAAATGTGAGTATAGGGTCTCTCAAGTCATTGGATGCGGAGATGGCAGAGTCAGGGTTCAGCCTCCGCTGTACGCCCTAGAGATTATCCCCCAGCATGTTCTGCAGCTGCATCTCAGAGAGAAGAGCCTGGTAGAACCACTCACCAGCCAGTCAAACCTCTCCCACTGTGGGCGTCTTGATATATTTCCTTCCACACTTCTTATTTGTGTGTATGAGCGTATTTTATTTGTGTGTATGAGCGTGTTGCCTGCTTATATGTAAGTACACCCATGTCGTGTGCAATGCTTGCAGAGGTCAGAAAAGAGTGTTGGATCCCCTGGAACTGGAGTTAAAAATGGTTGTTAGCTGCCATGTGGGTGTTGAGAACCGAACCCAGGTCCTCTACAAGAACAGCCAGTGCTCTGAGTAGCTGACCCATTTCTCCAGCCCCACATCTAAGTTTTAGCAAGAGAAAACCACATAAGTCTTAAATATGATTTTTAAAGCACTTTTATTATACTGTGTGTGTGTGTGTGTGTGTGTGTGTGTGTGTGTGTGACAGCAGATGAGTAGAGGTCAGAGCACAACTTGAGGGAGTTCATACTCTCCTTCCACTGTGTGGGTCCAGGGATAGAACTCAGAGTGTCAGGCTCAGTGGCCCCTCAAACATGACTTTTTCCCCATTTTATTATTTTATTTATTTACTTGAGGAAATGTGATGTGTATTTTTTTAATTATTTATTTAATAACCACATGATTAGAAGAAGCATTTAATTACAACATTGACATAGTCAATAACAATATCCAAAGCTAAGATGCATCTCTTTCAATATCGGCTGTAAATGTTTAGGTTCACAGTTGAATTAATACAGTTATACAATATTGAACTCAGTATAAACCCTATTAAGACATAAAATTCAATGAGGTTTTAACTTTTAAAAAAGATCTCCACTTCATTTTAAAATATACTGCTTCATACAGAAAAACTCATTTTTAATGCTAACACTTAGATGTTTGCACATGTGTCTCTAATCTCTATGTATCTGATTATTACTAGTCACAGTCGGTTACTTTCTGAAATCCACCTGAGCATGGATATAAAATCGTCAGTTGATTTCAATGGTAATGTGTTTCACCTCTACTAATTAACATGGAGCAAATTTTTATGCTTCTTCCTTAAATATAACTCATTTTTTTATTTGTTGATTTTTGTGTGTGTATTTCATATGGAACATTCCAAACACTCTTATTTACCATATGGTACCCTCCCTTAGCTGCCCCCCTGCACTGGAGCCCATATACTCTGTAATCCCTGTTACTGTCCACTGTGTTGTCGGCATCCCCAGCCATTCCCCAGTGCTTGTCCATCCATTGAGTCTAGTCAGCCTATCTAGAGATCCTTGTTTTAGGAAGATCAGCTCTTCCTCATCTAGCAGCAATCAGTTGTCAATATTCCTTAGTTAATGCTATTCATTTTCCCAGTTCTATGCTGGGTTACTGTATGGGAGTCTCTTGGGCCACTCTGGCCAACAACTCAAAGGAAGGTATCCCCTGTCTGGTGTTGTTTCCTGTTATGTAGCTTTTAGCTATACACATGGACTCTTAGAGAATTATACTGATCCCTTTAATCTCTGGTTATACTTTCCTTTTGAGTATTTAAGACCATATATTTGGCCCAGATAAACCAATTTATTTTTGCTCTTAAGGTCATTTGAAGATCTGTTCCTCAGGGGTCACATGGGCTTGGGTGGAGCCCCTGGCTCCTTTCTTTTACCAGTTCCACCTATGTGAAGATAAGTGAAAGGTCCTGCTCGACCATGGTTGGCTTCTCTTGGAAGCATGGAGGAAATGATTCCTCCATGTTGACCCTCCTCTTTATAAACTGGACACTGGTTCAAGTCCATCTGGTGGGGTCATCTTGGCTTCCTTGATCAAGAGGTCAGATGGAAGCATGGAGGAAATGTTTCCTCTGTGTTGACCCTCCTCTTTGTAGACTCTAGTTCAAGTCCATTTGGTCTGGTGGGGTCTCCTTGGCCTCCTTGATCAAGAGGACAGGTGACCCACCACAA